ACAAATGATGAAGACGACTTGGTTTCCGAAGAGAGAAATAAAAAGCGAGGATCGAAGTCGCGAAGGAGAATTCCCGGCACAATGGCGGTTGAAGTCGGTCTGCGGCGGCGGTGGCGGTCACAAATAGATAGTTTTCTTGTGTCTCGGTTTTCGTCCGCCTTTCCCACTCTTATTATCCACGCTTTTTTTGTAGAGGTTCATGGAGTAGTAATCCAGCGCCGGGTGGATGCTGGCGTTTCCGGTGATCTCGGGGAAAGTTGGCTGGGAAATGATAATGGTAGAATCGGGAGGCCCAGAACACGCTAGATTCTCGTTTCGACACATGTTTGCTACAGTATGTTTTCCCCTTTTTTCCTGTTCATAACATCGGGAACATTGTGTTCTTCCGGTTTGGAAAGAAGAGGCCGAGGGAGACGCATCGGCATAACAAAGCACGGAAGATTCCTTTCTCACCAACGGCGGAGAACAGAGACCGCGGACGGACGCCGCCACGAAAATCCTCCAGCAAGAGTGGCGATTTCCCAGAAAGTGTGGCGTAAGAGGGACCACCGTGCAGCGTGCAAGAGTGTCAAGGGAAGCACGCCAGGGAAGCAGCCGCGAGAGCCCAGCGCACCTGCCCGACACTCGGAGCGCCGGCCAAGGTTAAAACATGATAGGCTGACCGACCACACGATGGGGCCGGGCGGGCGGGCGGGCGGGGGAAGGCTCGGGGCTAGGAAAGGCGAGGGAGATTTCGTGTTAATTGTGGGATGATGTGTTTTCGTTTTTAGCTTGCGGTGGTGACGTGGTGCGTGACATGGAGGAAAGACCGAATATAGATGTGAAATTCCCTGTGATACGCGTTTTTGTTACGAAGATATGGTGCAGGATAAGACATGATGAGATTTCAGCATTTACTCAAGGGCGCCAATACATTGCTAAAATAAGACAGGTAAGAAAACCTTATCGAAAGACCCCCGTGCACTAATTTGCATTCCTTAACACTAGGATTGGATTAGGATGCGACCCAAGTAATCCGTGGGGCAGGTGTTAAAAAAGAATCCTCGCGCGCGCACCTTCCTTGATGGCCCTGAGAACCACGTGCCTCGGTCACTTCCGGTGGCACTGCCTGGTGTGGGGGGGGAGGGGGGAATAAGTAACCTTCGCCGGTAATGAGATTCGTAGTTTTCTCTGCAGTGTGATCTGTGCGGGACGTTTTTGCGAAGTGGCTTGTTTTCGGTCGCTGGAGCATGTGGTGCCCTTTTATTGTTGTTGTTTTTGTTTTGGCGTTTCGGAATTTACAAAATGAGTGTCGAAAAATGAAAGCGAAAGAAAAATACGTATATTTTTTACCAAGTTGAGAATAAGCTGTAGCCAAGCCGTTACGTCGGATGGAATGGAACATAGAGAACTAAATGACTAAACAACGCAATTAAATTCCCTTTTCCTTTACATTTCTCTTCCGTTCCTTAGCTATTTAAACGGCTTACACCTATCTTGGCTGGCGTAGTACAGCTGTCGCAGGTGAGGTTAGTGAGGTGTAAGGTCCATGGGTAGGCTAGTGTGCTCTATTTGCCCACCCCCTCCCTTCCTCCCTCCCTCCCTCCCTCCCTCCCTCCCTCCCTCCCTCCCTCCTTCCCCCTACATCCTCCAAGGGAAATGCGAGCGAGCATCCTACGCCTATAGTAGAGTCTTGATAAGCTTAAATGAGTCTCACGTTGCCTAAAGAAAGCTGGTGCGATTTTTGTAAGTGATTGTCCTTAGGTGGTATGAGGCCTATATTAGTGTCGTCGTATTATAATCCCATTTTGCCGGCAGATATCTGTTCATTTTTTCCCTTCCTTTTAGCGTAGTGATTATAAGCATATTCTATAAATGATGATTTGTGAAACGAGTTTTTGCGCCGAATATTGATCTGAACGATATGTCAAGCAGAGCTGTGGGGAATTTTCCCCTTCTCGCGCACTCGTTTTTTAAGGCTTTATCCTCGAACATACATGCATGAACTTCAGCTTAAGAAAGGCTGTAGGTCCCTCGGCGAAAAGGTATGGGCGAGATGCGATAGGGAGACACATGAATCAGTCGGGTTCCTACGGGGGACTGGTACTGTTATGGAAGAGTTGCCACCGCGTCTTCTATTCTGCTAATTATAAATAGTCTCCTTCCTTTTTATACGTAGAATGAGGGATATTATTATGTCGTATGGGTAATTGTTATTATATTTTAGTTACCAAGAAGAACGTATTAGTCAATAAAAGGGTTTAAAACCTCGCAAAGGCTGATGCTTGCCAACTGCGCTCCGACCTCCCGCCTCCCGTTTTCTGCAGGTCAGACGAAACCGAGTCAGTGTGGTCATAGAAGCGGCGGCGCTCGTATGTGCTGCGCCTTCCTGCCTCCGGCGTCTGTTTCGTTTTGCAGTGAATGTAAAAAAGTGAAAAAAAGTGCCCAGAGTGGTGATTTCGATAGCGTTGTGCCGTCTGTAGAAAGCGGCATTGTTATACGGGAGTTTGGTCGAGTGTTTTTTCTGTAGCCTAAGGGGGTTTGTGAGTGGTACAAGGCCTACCTGATGTGAGGACCTGCGATGGGTATGGACGGTGTCTCCAAGGAAGCCTCCTCTCCAGGGACTAGATTAACATCTGGACCAACTTGTTGTAGTGAAATTTACTGAGATTAAATCCGTGTTATCAGTGTGAATGTTAACCTCTTAACGATGACTTTCATGTGACAGTGATATTCGTGTGCAGTGCGCCAATCTGTTTTGTCAATTCATCTGACTTGGTCGCGTTATTTCGACACAGTCTCGACGTCTTTTGTATGCGCGGTGATAAGCCTTGGCTCACTGTGCAGGGCTGGGAAGCATGCGAGCAGAGATGCCGCTCGAGTAAGGACGGCGACGCCATAGCAAGTGCCTGTCCGGGTCATTTGTATGCCTCCCTAACACGCTTTTATTGTTGGCGTGTTTCGTTTAAGTGCGATTTTCGAGTGAAGGGGAGTTGTTGGTCAGTGTTTTTTTTCTATTCTTGTTGGGAGGGAATTCATAAAGATTTGGGGGGGGGGATCGGTCTTGATCTTGAAGTCAGTTCTAGAAAGCAGGAGTAGCAGGTTCCTTCAGAATTCTGACGTAAGCAACCAATCCCTTATTGGGAACAAGCTGTCCTGCCACGCTTTGGGATAATTTTTCCGTGTATCTCAGGCAACATATTGGTTTCCAATATCTAGCGTCAAATACTCGGAAGGGAAATTGAATTAAGCATACAATATCTTCTGCAGTAAAGTTAGAAACCCCGCAACAAACAATGAACTGAGCTGCCGGCGGAATACAGTGAGCGGCTTTTAGAGAAAGAGAAAGTACGACTGTTTATCGTCCGGAAAACACTCGAGCGTCAAGGGAAACCATGAAAGAGAAACGCGTGAGTGTGGAGGCGAGGGAGCGCGTGCGGCAGCGCATCGCCCAGTGGGAGGGCCTGGGCGTCAAGGGCACCAAGGAGGTTCTGTCCCCGACGCAGGACATTCCGCGAACGACCGCGCTCCGGAAACTTTCCAATGACGCCTTCAACCAGTTCTCGGCTGCGGAGAACCGCGGCTCCAACGGCTGCGTCGAGAAGAGGACCGAGCCGCGGCCACCCTCGCCGGACTGCACCGTGGACGGCGACGTGACACCCATAGAGGCCCTCCCCCTGGTCCCCGCCCCTCCGCCCACCGAGGCAACGTCGCCGGGTCAGGACGGCGGCGTTAGGGAACTCGAGGACCCGTTAGACTGTTCCATCCTGAGGGACCAGACCTCCCTAAGATACTCGACGCCCGTCAGGAATGCCGCCGTCAAGAGATTCTGGCAACAGCAGGTGAACACATTTGTCATGTTGATATATGCGGTTCGTTGGGAGTTCCAATGCCTCCTGTTCGACGCTTAAACATTTCGATGAACTTTTGGACCGCAATTAAAGGCTATTGTAAGATAGTCCTGAACCCGAGAGACTGGCTAATAACCTGACCTGGTAACATTCACCGGCTACACCTGATCAGATTACCATGGTTGACCTGACCTGCCAAAGTCACCTTGGCTGTGAAGGTGAACCTGTTATAAGATTCTCATGTGCTTATATTACATAGGGTGGTTCTGGGGATCAGGTGAAAACAGTACATTAGGAAGAATGGTTTTGTTATCTCATGACAGAGTTGTACAAGGCAATCAGTCATCAATGGTGTGAATGGAATTTATTGTTTTGTCAGTGGAAGATGTTACATGGATATATCACACACATAATATTCAAACATAAAATCTGTTAAAAATAATCCCAAGATATCATCAAATTTGATGGCATTTGACAAGAAAGAATGTTACAAGCTATATCCATTGCCTGTTTAAGCTCATACTCAGCATGTAGTCTGTATGTTAAATACTTACAGTATACATCACTGACTACATCAAAAGTAAGAATTTGTTGAACTGACAGCAAAGTATAATCAGGCAATAAGATCAGCATACAATATATGAGATGAGATGTGGCTTATTTGTATACCTTTTGATTAGTTTTCTTTGAGAAAAGAGACAAGGACCATGGTATTTTCCTTTTATCATATGAGAATGGTTTTTACTTTTTTCTTCCAGGTAGATATATGCTTTTGACTGTTAGAAGGCTTACTTATAAAATGTTTAACATTGTTTTGTAATATAGATATAATGTCTTGTATTTATAGAATATTGTCATGAAATATTTGGCTGTTACTAAGTAATTTTGAAGCTATCAGATCACTGATTGGAATCCAATTAAATTGCTTGAATGATAAATAATTTCTTTCTACAATGGTAGGTGGAATATGTAGGTGTGATGTGGTTTATATACAGAACCAATTAAGGAAGGATACATTAGGAAGCATTCAGATGGTTAAACCTTCTTTAAGACAGGAAAACGGCTGTAAATTCAGATTGTTATCTAGGCAGGCTACACTGCAGGTCAGTTTTGGTATCTCGTAAAATTTGCAGTAAACATAATGTTCACCATCTATCTCTTTCTCACCAGACCCTGAAGCTGGAGTTGGAGCTGAAGGAAGAGAAAGTTGCATCCCTCAACAGGGAGATTGAGGACCTGAACTTCACAGGGAAGACTGAGGAGGAGATTGCAACATTGAAGAAGGCCAAGCATGACCTGGAGATGCGCATCAAAGATCAGGTTTGTTGATCTTTGCTTCAGTCAGGTTGAAGAAACTAAAGCAGTCTGATAAATAGCCTGTAGGATTTTGAATATAACAGTGAATGTATTTTATTGAGTTTTTGTGTCTTTAATGAATGCTTTATTAACAGGAGGAGGAGCTAGATGACTTAGCAGGGCAGGTGCAAATGCTAGAGGGCGCAAAGGTGCGATTAGAAATGAGCATAGAGCAAATGAGGAAGGAGAATCGCCGTGAGATGGCCCAGAGAGAAGAAGAACTTGAGGAAGTCAGAATAGCTGCTCAAAAGAAAGTAAAAGGTATGCATAAGAGTCTTATCCATGGGGAAAAACAAAGCAAGAGGCTGTAGGAAATCTTACATTCCAGTCACGGAATTCTGAATCCTAGCATTGCTAATATCCTATGCAAGGCATGTCAGGTTTGATTTCCTCTGCATCTTTACCTTTCACACTTATAAAGGTATAAAGATTAGGATTGGTACTTTCACTCTTGCTAGGAGTTATGTGGAACACTGCAAGTTTTACTACCCAACTCAGAACAGGATATCCATTGTGTTTTTTGCTTAGTATGGATTTCTTATGGCCTTCACCAGGAGTGTTCTCCAAGGCAACTGATTCAAAAATTGTAGCCGTAAGATTATTTACATGATTTCTTACTTGGTAACAGTTCTATATATATTTAATGTCTCCTTTTTATATTATTTTTGTCACATGAGTATGATATTTGATTATGTTATTTTCTGCTTTCAAAATAGTTTTAGGAACTAAATTGTATCATATTCTAAGAAGTGACTGAATTTTGGTATGAATTATGCTTTGTTATTTTCTATGAAGCGTTCAAGAATGTAAACAGGTAAATTATTTTTTAGTTGCCTTCGATAAAACATAAATGATTCTAAATTCTAAATGATCGAAACAATTTTGCAGCATTGGAAGCACAGCTGGAGAACGAACATGAAGAGAGAACTCTGTTGGTGCGTGAGAAACATGAGCTGGAAAGGCGCATAGCTGACTTACAAGACCGCACCATCACCCATGTTGATGAAGACTATGTGCACAAGCTTAAGAAGGAACTGAAGAAGACTAAGGTCTTGTTGCGTGATACACAGACTATGCTTGAGAAGGCACAGTCTGAGGGCAGTCACAAGGTTCTCGTTAGACAACTGAAAACACAGGTAACTGCAATTGCTTTTTGAGATAGGGATAGTGCTTCTGTTTTTTTATTAAAATTTTTATTTATTCATTACATACCCATCATCCATATTAAAATCAGATTTATTTCAGCAAATCACAAATCTCAGATTTCGCTGCTCACAGGGCAGGGAAGACCAATTCTGGGATTTATGCATTTTTGCAATAATGAAATGTAATTTAGAGAAGGCTGGTGAAATCTTTTTGACAGAAGTGAGTAAAAAAGTTTAACAATTATCTCTTTTCAGTTGGAAGATGCAGAATTTGCCAAGACCGCAGCTATCAAGGCTCGTCAGTCGGCTGAGTCAGATCTCTCAGAAATTAACTCCCAACTGGAAGAAGCCTTGAGATATAAGAATGAATCAGAGGATAAGTGTGCCAGAATGTGCAAAGAGAAGGCTGAGTTGCAAACACAGGTTAGTGATGATAGTAGTGGGTCTTTTGCACACTATAATTTTAGGTTCTTTCAGTGTTAACATTGGTAATGTATGATAAAATTAACATTTGTGTTTTTTTATTCAGCTGGAAGAGAGTGAAGAAGAGGTGGCTGAGGTAATGAAGAAGTATAAGGCTGTTGTATCTCAGCTGTCTGTAGACCAGATCACACTCTCAGAACAGTCACAGCAAATTGCAGAACTAGAACACAGTAAACAGGTATGTGATAATTGTAACACGTAGGATTTGTCATAAGTTTGATGAAAATATATGAGGATTTCCTTTTAACATAATAGGGCAGGTATATATTCTCTTAATGGAACAGAGTTGATATGTATATTATTTTTTTGTTTTTTTGTTTGTTTGTTTCCTCTTCCACTCTCACTACATGTGGATTCTTTTTATATAAGTATTTTATGATGTAATAACATAACCAATAACTTTGAGAGATTCAAGTATAATGTCTGTATTGGTAATCCTATGTATACCCCTTGATGAGGAGGTTGTCAGTAGATTGAAACTACTTTGAATTTTATTACTGTAGAGATTGTAAATACATATTTCTGGTCTGCAGGTTCTTCAGGAGAGAATGCTGGAATTGACCAGCAAAGTAGAGGTGCTAGAAGGAGAGACAGCAAACATCCACACTCAGCGCCGGCTTGAGATGAAGATCAAGGAGGTTGAGTCTAAACTAGAACTTGAGCAGACTACCAGGCAGAGATTAGAGGTTAGTTTTGAGTAAAGATTTGTTTTCTCTTTATTCTGTGAATCAGCAAGGAAAGAATATGTGTGAAGTCTGTAATTGATGCTGTGAAGTTTATCTATCTGAAGTAGTGTCTTGATTAACTGCCACATTTGTGTTACAGAGTCAAATAGGGCGTTTGAAGGACCAGATTGAACGACTGACGAGTGAATGTGATTCAGCGCGGCTCAAGGAGAGTCAGGCTCAGGACCAGAGTAAGAGACTTGGAAGGCAGTTACGTGAGGCCAAGGAGGACCTTTCAACCTTCCAGCAGAGACACACTGATGCTGTCAACAAGAAGAATGAGTTGGAGAAGCAGTTAGAACTTTCAGACTCAGAAGTCATTACCCTTAAGAGTGACCTGAAGTTGGCATTCAAAAGGATTGAGGACCTCCAACAGGCCATCCAGGGTGACATTTCTGACTCCGACTCCGACCTATCCGACAGGTAACTGCACTTCCAAGAATAGCGGTACCAAGCTACAACTCCCAGTCATTGGGATAGGATTTCTTCTAGGCAGAATTTCCTGACTGCAGGCCTTTGGCAGCACAGGGAACATGACTCTACCAAATTCACTGCTTCACGCCTGGGCAATCTTGATTTCCTTTCCTTTATAATATGAAAGTTGCCCAAACTTCTCATTCTTTTAACCTCCTCACCTTTGTATGTCTTGCATGCTTACATGCCAAACATTAACAGAAAACCGTGATTTTTATCTCATAAAATGCTTTATGTCTAACCACATTCCAAATGATGGCCCACTCTGTATTATTATAGCATGAATTAAGATGATTAATGTATTACCATAGAATGAAAAGCAATAGGATTGGCATAATAGTGCTCATGTACAGACTATCTGCTAATATGATTTAGACTTTGTGCATAAATTTACATTAGCAAAGCCTTAGTAACCACCTGTCCCGTATCCCAACCAGATCCCTTTGAAATTCACCAGATTTTCTCCACAGTTTTCCTTGGCTGGGTATATTGTGAGTAGCTTTTGCGTGTTATTAACAAAGCTTGCGTGCCTTACCTGCCCTACGGCTTGAGTCTGGTGCCTGGCTTGGGCCCTTGTGTTTGTGCCTCCTTGGACCATACTTCTTTGTTTCTAGTGACAGCGACAGCGACGGCAGCTTGAGTTCTTATCTGACTGCGTCCTTGAGGCAACAGAGGTCCTCCTCCAATTCTACGCTTCGCACTCCTCCTTCAGAAGTGCAGCAGCTTGACAGGTAATTGGGAAAAATAGTGGGCATTGTGGCATTTCCTTTTGCCAAAGCAGTGAAGTTAGAGCTCAAGTGAATACAGAAAAAAAAAAAAAAAAAACATAGCAGTGCATATTGTAAAGTCAGTCTTACATTTAAATACTATGCATATTTTCCATGGCCTCTCATATTAATTCATTATTAATGTTAGTCTTCTGAATTATAACATGACGTCCATACCTTTTGAAATTTAGCAGTGGAAAAAAATGGGAATTTGTAAGTTTTCATAATGACAGGACAAGAATTTGGTCATGTGTTGCAGATTTTTTTTTTTTACAGACAAATTTAATGGATGTACAGACCAGATTTAAATGGTCTGGTCCCAAAATGTCTGTTTTATATCAGAAGACTTTTGGCTGTCATAATTATTTAGCATAACTCAAATTATTATTTGCACTCTGATTATGTTTATAATTTATTCCTAAACATTGAGTTCTGGGGTGGGGGGGAGAGCAGTTGTAAGTCTTAAAGTTTTTTACTTCTTAAATAGGTCATCAGACCTTTAAGTGATTTGCATTGCTAAAAAAAAGTATAATAAAATAAAAAATATATACATTAAAGGTTTCTTGTGCTAACAGAAAATAGCATTGCTAAAAGTTCACATTGAAGATTTTGAATAGTCTTTTGTTTGAAATAGTGGATATTTTGTGGATAAACCACTTTTGTAGATATTAGCAAAGCTGGTTGTGATTTATGTGAAATGGAAATATTTTTCCTCCATTATACTGTATTTTTATGTTGAAAAGTCAGATTCAAACATAAAAGATTTAAGGGTAAACATTTAGTTACTTATGGCACAAGAAGTCCATAATATCTTGGCTTATTTAAGTGATTTTAAAATGAGTCTAAATGTTAAAAGTGACATGTGGATGTACTTAATATGATTGTTTTTTTTGCCCTGTAGATATTTGAGCACCTAACCTGCTGTAAACAACCCTATGCCTTTTATGATTTGCAAAACTAATGCTTTTTATAAAAAATGTAGATCCAATGTATGCTTGTAAATGCTTTTTGAATGTAATTAATATTTTGATGATTGCACATACTTACTCTAACTTACTTTCATTTTTGGTACACATACACTCACTCACTGAATATTTACATGAAAATACAATTACACAGATATTGAAGCATACATTTGTATGTATCTGAAGAGTGAGTATGGGTAAAAAAAGACTTTTTTGGTATTGTTTATTTTTAAGGTATGGAAGAGCTATTGTAAATCTGTAAATGCAAGTTGATATTTTACTTATTCTTCTTGTTTAAATTCACAAGTTATAAAAGTCTTGTAAGTTATTGTTATGTTTCATGTCATATATCAGATAATGAATGCTAGATATAAGACCTTTTTTTTAGTTTGATTTTATTTTAAGAGTGAATAATGCATGCCCCACTTTCTTTCTTTCTTTTTTCAGTTGGTTTTGGAAGGTGAAAAAGGCTAGGTGTATCTCTTATTAGTTTGTAAGACTTTTATACATTTTAGAGTATTATTTTTATCCCCCCCTTTCTTTGTTTGTCCTTTGTTTTTACCCTAATTTTGTCTGGTAGAATAATTGCTGGATGAAGTCTTAGGTTTGGGGAATGCTCTTCAGATGGCTCAGTGAATGATGCTGAGGCTGTAAAAGCATTTTGTGAATGATGCTGCCAGCTTAAATTTTATTTCAAGTTTAAACTACTTATTGTTAAACCTTTTTAAGTGAATCTTCATGTTTGTACATTTTATATGAATGTATATATATTTTTTAAAGTAAATTCCTGTTTCAAATTTGTGAGAAGAATCATACAGAGAGAAATATGATTTTCCTCTTAAATTATATATTCTTAAAGTTGTACTGATAGGATAACTATATTGAATGTATGTTAGATTATATTTTTAGATTTGGAAGTCATCAGTTGTAACCAGTCTTATATTTTTCCACCTTTTTTTCTCTTTACTTCTTTGACATTATACTGACCTTTCTTTCTCTTTCTTTCCTTTTCTTCCTTTTATTAAGATAAAAAAGTATGGACAAGCTTGTCTGCTGTCTCCTCTTTCTCCTTTTTTCAGAATTACAATACAAGGGAGTAATAACACTTCTGTATCTCTTTAACAGACTGGAGCTCCCAAATTCACCATGTAGTGAAGCAATGTCAGCCATCAGTGAAGACCTTGAGGAGGCCTCGAATAAGGAGTCCTTCGCGTGATAGCTTGTACTTAGACCATAATATATAATAAAGATTTTTATAATGTGCAGAGAGTAAATGGAGTAAAATTAATGCTGTAATACTGCTTCATTGTGAGGAACTGTGACTGTTTGTGATGATCCAGTAAATGCTTGGTGATGATATAAACTGGAGACTTGACCGAGCTTTAAATAGGTTTTTGTGTATATATGTACAGAAAATAAACATGCTTGGTGAGAAAGTCTTCTCCATCTCTATCTCTTTATCTCTCTCTGAATGGTGCTTATCATGTGAAACATAGTCTTTAAAGTGAGTCATGTTAGAAGTTCTGTCTCTTCATCTTTAACCACTTTTAACAGTGACATTCCCGATGTGTTCTGTTGACTTTCCAATGTGCCACTTTAAAATAGCCCTCTAAATTATTTACACGATGACTTACAGGATAGGACTTGAAATCTTATGATTCTGAAAGTATATGTATGCTTAGATTACATATGCTTTATGGCATATACCCTTCACATTGTTGTATTTTATTATTCTCATTTTTTGGTCCACTTGTTTTTTATATAAATACTATAAAGAAACATCCTGTCCTGAATCATCTATTCCATGAAATTCTCTTGTTTATCATGTGGTACAGTTCTGCAGTTCCCCTTTCTTCTTTTCTTTTGTCTTCTTTTTTTTCTTTTTCAATGTCACCTTATCCTTGGATCCATTTCATTGTGATGTTAGGAATGTAAGGAATTGTTTGAGGCTTATATTACTTTTTTATTCAAATATTAAAAACTGTAACGTTCATGATAAAAAATTGACCAACAGCAATAGGGGATGCTTTGTATATGATGTTTTTATGTCATCATAGAAGATGCACATCTCTTGTTGGGTACATTGTAGGTGACTAGCTTGTGAATTATCCCCAGAAAATATCAAATAACAATATTATAATTTCTATTTAGGAAATACTTAACCAGTCCTTCCAAGGAGAAAGGTGCAAATTGTCATCAATAAACTGACAATAGCAGTCATAAGAATTTATAGGCTTCCAATAGCACGAACTTACTTACTGTTGTGACTACCTCCTATGTAGAGGCTGAGGTCCTTGCTCATCAGCATGTGCATGGACCACAGTCTTGATCATCTTTGTTTCTCAGTGGCAGTCTTCTTCTCTGTGGAAATGCGCATTCGAAAAATTGAAGGTTCTTGTGGAGAATTTTTCGCATCTGGTTGGATTTACATCAATTTGGCCCTGCAGCAAGACCGTCTCACACCCCTAGCCACTGGGGACGCCCCACTGCCCGCTTCCCAGCTCTTCCGTGTCAGAAGAGTGGAGACAGCCCAGCACTTTTGCTTCCTGCTCATTACAAGGACTGACCAGAGATGTTGAACTTCAAATTTTAAGAATAGTTACTGGATTTTTTTCTTATTATTTTTTTCACTCATTTAAACCTGGTAGAAGTAAGATATAAAAGGGCAAATTTGTGAAAGGTATGATTAATTTTCTAAAGCAAAAGATTGAGGTAATGAGTTACTTCTTTGTCCAGCATTAGATGCACCTGTTAA